TGTAGAGTTTGGAGAGAAAAAAACCCTAAAAATCAGGAGACAAATCTTTCTGAAACTTTGCAGAATTGATTTCCTGCTTATATGTTGTCTCATTGTGCAGGAATTGAAGGGGATACCTCTTGTACATTTTTTAATTAAAAATTATTTGTATACACTTTAAAATTTCCTTAAAATCGGTGAACAAAACATTCTGAAACTTGGCAGGCTTAAAGTCGTAAATGTTGCCTCCAAGTGTACCAAGTTTCATCCTGATATCCATAAAATGACAGAGAAATAGATCTCTAAATTTTCCCTATTGCTGCTAATGGAACAAATCTTAATGAAACAATTACGAAGCTTTGGAGAATGAAAATGGGACCCCTCCGAATCTTTACGAAACACCCTCTCCCCCCCCAGGGGGAGGTCCGAATCTCTGAAATGAGGGATTATAGTATATACTCTATAAAATTATTGAACATGGGTTTAATGCACAGAATTCAGGTCTCTTTTATCAAATTTTCACTGGCGTCGGTTTCCACAGGTTAGACATATTTTAAATGCAAACATATGCAAACATACGTGACATTTCAACAAAGCTACATGCAAGATGGATGGATGGTATCCTTGAAGTGATTGGATTGACCTTGAAGGAGGTGGGGATGGTGACGGCCAACAGGGAGCTCTGGCGTGGACTGGACGAATGAACAACACATGCTTTTATCATTCAAATTGTCTGTAATGAGTCAGTATTGTGTTGTCATGTTTCTTTGATTTTACTTCCAGGAAAGTATGCCCTATTCATGTATCTGTGCTCTAAAATTATGTTATTCTTGAAAGAGAAATGCAGTGGAGGAAGTGGTCCCATATTTAATCCTGAACATCCTAATGTGAGATTCTCTTTTACCAAATGCAGACAAATTAAATAGAGGACAAGTGTTGACTCAAGAGCAGGTTGAAGTCATAATCTTGATGGTAACTGTGACCACTAAATATACCAACATTTAAACTGACCTCTTTTGCTGACTCTTTGAGAAGAGTTTGGTACAATGCAGCTGACAACATTTTGTTTTTTCTGCTAGAGGAATAGAGGTAAAACAAAAGGTTTTCTTTTTCCATTTTCTGACCATCAACAAGCAGTGATCCTTTAATAAAAAACAAACAAGCAGTAATCCTTGCTCAGGTTTGTACATATCCCTTCCGCGTCCTAGTCTCCCTCCTCCCTATGGCTTCCTCTCACATATTTACACATGGCTATCCTATCTCTTCTCAGCCTTCTCTTCTTCAGGCTAAACATGCCCAGCTCCTTAAGCCGCTCCTCATAGGGCTTGT